CTTTTCTCAATTTCGCTTTACTAGCATTTTGGAGGTTCGTCTGCACACATGATCAAGAAAATTGACCTAGAGTTTTGGTCAAGACTCATTTAACTTAATCTTTTACAATGACTCTGGCTTTTTGAGCTGGAAGCCAAAATACTACTTAAGGACTAAGGTTTTCATATAAATTGACTTAAAATGAGAATAGTTACAAAAACTAAGATAGGCACTGACATCTCTGGAAACCTGTTTAACCAAAATAATCCGTATAAGTGGCATTTCCGAATTCCTTGATTAAAAAGGCTTACACTGGATGTAAACTTGATAGTGGCAGAAGGTCACGATCAATTTTTGCATTTGCTGCTATTGACGTTGAATTTTAAGTGCTTCGTTCATTTTTTTTTTTTTTCAAAGGAACTTTTTTACGTTACGTCTAGGTGCACTTTGTATTCTGTTGGTCTCCTCTAATTTACAAGTTGTGTAGCACGTATGCTACCATGGTTGATTCAAGAACTTGTTAAAGCCTTGAAAAGTTACACTGCGTTGCGTTAAAAAGGACACGATTTGGTAGTGTGAATCATGCCAAGTAGAGCGGCTTTGCACGATTCACAACTTTTTTCGTCAAAATTTTCCAACGCGAAGTAAAGGAAAACAAATTGTCTGGTTTGATTTTCTTTCATGTTTCTTTATGTTAATTACGGTTGTAATTTTGGCGAAATTACGCAAGGGCTTTGTGTAATTTTTCCACGCTTGCTGATCAGACGAGCGTCCTTTTGGACTTAAAAGTGTGAATTGGTGTGTCAAATTTCACTTTTATTTAAACTGATTTGATATGCTTAAGGCATCCATCTTTGATTCTTTTTTTGCCTGCATGCATGCTAATGCATTCCAGTAAAACACCAAAAAAAAAAAAAAAAAAAAAAAAAAAAAAAAAAAAAAAAAAACGTTGTAATCATCCAAAATTCAAGCGAACATGCGCTGAGTGTCGATTTCTGTTGTATGGCTCCTTCTCCATTCTGACATCATCCACTGTTGCTGATTCTAAGCGCGTTTCATGAGCGAAAACTGTGTATTCATGTCCATTCTCGACCCTATTCTGTTGCTTGGACTCGCGGGCCGAGCCTAATTACGTCCTTTTAGCTTTTCCTAATATTTTTTGGCGCAATTCAATCTCTTCCAATGTATCGAATCACCAAAACGGGTTTTCGAGAATGAGCACGTGGACAACGTTCGTTCATGCAACTCGCTTAGGTAGATCGGCCCTCGTTGGTTCTTGAAGCTGTAAATGTATCATGCAAAGAGCGTGCAAAAAAAAATTCTAGTTCGGTGCCTGTGATTAGGGCAAAAATGCCAACAAGTTCAGAAATAGTAAAAAAAACGATCGGAAAGAAAAAGGAAAACAAATGTAACCCAAAATTTTGTTGGTTGAAGATGCTTCATCCATGAGTAATTTGAAAGATTCTAAAAATCGTAGGACTTCTAGGGTTCCTTTCATATATTTTCGGGTTCGGTTGGCAACGTATAATTGAGTAATCCTAATTTGCTACGAAAGTATACCCTTTGCTCAATTAAAAAAAAACTCCCAAAAAGCTTGAAATTCCAGTTTCCCGCCATCTGCTCTAGCCTCGTACTAATTTATTGATAATGCCGTGATATCGGGGAGAAAGCTCTTGATAGTTAAGTTATTACTTTAACTAATTGCATTTCCGAAGTGCGTGGTAATGTCTTAATTTCCGTCTTTTCACTTGTTGTAACAAAGCTATCCAAGTCTTTTGGAATGGCTGAAATTTTATTCGAGCTGAAACGCATGAAACCAACTCTTTCATCGTGATCACTACCCCTGATAGTAATGATGAGTGTACGAAAACCAAAACGCAACAAAGGTACTTACCCCATTCGTTTAATGAGTTAGCCATTTTTGATAACCTTGAGGTAATAATTTTTTCACTGTTTACTCTGAAACCCTCTGCCCTGTGGTCAGATTGTGCTGTTGGAGGGCTGCTGGAACTTAAGGCATGTTCATTTGGACATTTATTTCTTGGAAAATTTTTATGTGTTCTTCGAGCTGAAAATCTGACTAGCTTAAAGCGGCTCCTGGCTGGTACTTTCAGTGCTGGCGTAGCCTGCTTTGCTTTCAGAACCCTTTTCTCGTCTGATTTCATGTGAACTGATAACACTCTTATATGACTTTTTAAAGATGATTGATGTGTTGATAAGGATGGGGGTGACTGATTCGCACATACGGGTAAATGCCTCAACTCTCTCAATTCTAGTAGGGCGTGAGTTCGGAGAAGTGAATTTTGGGACAAATTTTTCAAGGTTAGGTGAGAAGAAAGTCTTTCATCTGCTTTAAGATGCATAATATGAATTGGTTCTGAGAATACATTAGGGAAATTATGATTTGACCCAAATGCACAGCGTAAACCCTCGGGTAATTTCACGTTTCTCTCTATTGGCGCGACGATAGGTACATTCACATTGCAACTAGGAGCTGAAAATGGCTCCTGAAATTGATCCATGTGATGTGATTTTGGCGGCTCAACTTCTCCTGTGAAGACAAGGGGATCTGATTGAACTTTCGGGATGGATGGTAAATTATGTTCAATCAGAGGTGTTTGTAAGTTGAAAGTTCCTTTGACTTCCGCACAATTTTTCAGAATTTTTTTCACGTCACACATACCTACCATAATGCTGGGAGTATAAGAAGTTGGAACTGTCAGTTTTACCTGTTCTGTCTCCTGAACTTCATGCAAAATTTCACTGATATGGTCATATATCAGCTTAGCTAGCCTATCTTTGCCATGATCATTTAAACAATAACCATTTGATTCAAAGGACGATTCAGGGAACTTCTCCTGACTAACTGCTAATTTACTCAAAGTAGGGCCTGAAATTAACTGGTTATTTATAGTAGAATTTACAGAATGGATTATCTCATGTATATTCGGGAAATCATATCGAGGCAACACAGGTGAAATAACCACATGCATTTTACGTGTCAGGTCTTTCAACCGACCAAAAGGCAAATTTCTAACAACAGTGTCAGAATCATGAAAAAATTGAGCAAAATTTCTTTCAGCAGCTAGAATGACTGCGATCGCCTTTTCGCCTGGTTGCACGGCAAGATCGTTCTTCGCTAAAAAGAACTGCTAAAAAGAACTACGCTCCACGCAAACCCTATGCACATTATTACATTTATATACAGCGCGTCTTGGCTCAGTAGAAACGAACAAACTGAGGTTAAAACATTTTCATCTCTGGTCTGCACTTTTAAATTTTTAAACGAAAAAAAAACTAATTGAGACTAAAGAGAAAATGACCTGTATTGTTGTGATCGAAAGATCACGGAATTTTCTCTGCCTCAGAAGTTTTGTCTAATTTCACATTTCTACGGATTTGGAAGGTCGTGCTCTGAATATGAATATGCTTTAATTTGTGCTTTTACTGCTATGCTTAGCAAGAGCGAATCCAGCAATTTGGCAACAACGGATTCCCTCCATTTAAACCCTCGTTAAATAATCGATTCTTGTTGGAGCACCTGGCCCCTCCAAAAATTGAAACATTTCTATAGGTTTAAATGGAGAAAAACAGTGTTGTCAATCTACTGGACTCGCCAATGTTGCTTAGTAGCAAACCAAAACAAAACTAAAAAAAAATGGAGATGAACAACACTAATTAAAAGGGCTATAGTAGAACGTAAAACTTGGCTGATAAGAAGAACAGTGAGGAAGCATTGAAAGTGCGCTCGGTAGGCCCTAGCATGTGAGAAGTACCAATAACAAAACAATGACATTTTAGTATCCTTACTTTCATAAGGATGTAGTTAGAAAAATTCTAGGTTCGAAACGATGTGGACTGTAATATATAAAATACCAAAAATTTCTAATATAAAATAATATTTGACCGCGTTTTTTGTTTGCTGTGCTCCATCTTAAAGATACGAGTAAGAGGATTGGAAAGCCTCCAAATCTTAATATTTCACTAACACCTATTCTACAGCCTACTGTTATGTCTACTGTTTACTCTAATGTAGTACGGCGGATTTTTCCGTCGGTATATGAAAAATTCATCAACACGAGAAAAAAATTATTCGGACATGAAATTAACAGAAATATATGAAAAAAATAGTATCGAGTAAATGGAGCGAACACACTTCAAACCTCCGTGTAACTGGTGACTGCGTCTCTTTTTTTAAAAAAAAATTTGCGATGGCTACATGTTACAACTGAAGAGAGCAATTTAAGGTTTGAATATTCTCATACCCACTGAGCGTTGATTATTATAAACAAAATTTATGGACAAATTAGTGGAGAGTTACACAATTAATGCCCTAGTCACATGTAAACTAATGATTTTGCTTGCTCTGAGGTTGAGTTAAAAGATGATCATTATAATTTTTATGCCGTTACACATGATTTCGCATGCGGTGTTGCTCGCACATTTGAATTCTTAAAACTAATTTCTTAACATTCTAATTTCTTAATTGAAGAGTATAATCGTTTTCCAGAGGCGCGCGCGTATCAGGTCATTTCCCGACTGTCCATTATTAAACCAAAAGTTTTTTTTTTTTTGCTTCTTAAACTTGCATTTTCGCACCAAATGACACTCACGAGACTTTGTTTTCCGTTTGGGTGAATTGCCTTCGAACAACGTCGGATTAAGTTTAAAAGCTGGCAACAATTTAGCACTCAACACATTTCTTTTGGCTCGATTGATTTTCCGCGAATTCTTTGATGAAAAAAACTGTACTCTGATGATCGACTGTCCAAAGTTGGAAAGTTGAGGGTCAACTAGTGGCGCGTTAGAAGACACACTATTTGTGCTCAATAGAAACCGATTAACAGGGGGTAAAGCATTATCACTGAGGTGGTATAGGTAAGGCTGCGGCCTGAACTTGAGGTTCCAAAATTTGGCGTTATGAGGAACCTTAGAGAAAAGAATCATACTTTCTTTAATTTTGAGCTGGAACCTATGGTACACGAATGGTCGTTGCCATGGAGAAACTTTCGAGTCCTCATGAGCGACACTGTTGGAGTTGAATTTACCGCACAGAATAAATGAAGCTTTAAGGTGAATTGAGTGTGGACGAACTGATTTTTCTGACGTCGTTACATTACAAGTATTGATGACAAAATTGTTATTGATAACAGATGTTGAGATAGTGTTCGGAGTAGATTTGGACGCCTTAGCTTCCAAAATGTGGGCACTGGTGACGTCAGCTACATGACCCTGGTTCTTAGTCATCGAGAAGAAAGCTTTCGACTTCGGGTAGGAGTTGGTTTCCTCAACACTGGTGGAATTTTCTTCACCTGGCGTGACTCCAGCTTGCATACAATTCACGAATGGAACAAACACGATGATTTTGGAATTTTTATCATTTTGACCTTTGGATACTGCTTGAGGTTGGTCTCTGGATTCACCGTGTGGGCTGATTGGAAGGGAAGCGACTTCCATTAATAATTTCTGCTCTGCAATATGCCGATTGTCAAGAAAATATAAAACAGTAGATCCAAACTCACTGTCAGTAAAATTCGGGCAAAACTGACGGAAGGGACCGGAAAATTCAGGGAGAAGGCCTTCGATAACGCCATGCACAAATTCGCAATCATAGAGCACTAGGTTGTTGTCTTGACAAAGTTTGAACTTTCGAGTGATAAAATCCATGAGTGACTCATTTTGTTGTTGAACCGCATTAAGAAATTTCATGACCGGTGAATCAGGATGAAATTTGGCTGCAAACTCCTTCCTAATATACACCCATGTTAGTGGAATCTCATCAACAAGGGTGCGCATAAAACCAATAAAATATTCAAGTGCGTAATCACGGAGATGGCCTTGCAGGAAAAAGATTGAACTTGCATCACTCCACTGGTACCTTCTTCTAGCTTGTTCAAATGAGAGGATAAATGCATCGAATTCTTGATGACCGGGCCCATAAAAATTATAATCTTCGAGGCTGGGGCGACCAAATTCAATTAAACTGTCAACACCCGAATCGCGGTATTTTCCCCTTGCTAACTCAGATTCAACAAGAAATTCTCCAAATTTTTCATAATTCTCTGCTTGATCATGATTACTAGAGTTACAGAAATCAAACGGCGCCGCGGTGTCGGAAATTAGGTTGTTAAACGACATTTTGAAAAGGCTATCTTGTCACTTGTTGAAATTTCCTCACGCACGGATAGGAACGGATGAATTAGTCCCACACAACAAGTTTTTTTCTTCTTCTTCTTTCGCACCCGACTCATTTAAAACATAATTCGCGACCACAACGAAACGACAGTTCACAAAAAAAAAAAATTTTTCCTTAAAATCGATGGTATTTTATTCTTAAGTTCTCGCTTGGCAATGTGAGAGGCAAACAGGGTCGGCTCAAAACCACTCTCCGGGAGTTTAGTTTTTTGGCTACCCGGCGCCTCCACCACTTGAAACGGCTAAAACTCTAGGGACCAGAGAGGATACCCTAAAGTTTAGCCTAAAACTTATGTTCCTCCGCTGTGAGAAACATGGGGGGGGGGCGAATTTCCACCACTTGAGGTATAGAAAATGAGGCCTCAAGTCCTCTATGATGACTAATTGGTAGAGCTATAACACACGCTAATATCAAGGATATTCTGATGCAATAGGATGTTCTATCAAACCTGTCCTATGGACTTAGATGATCTTTTCGTTGCTCGTCTGATCAGTGATTTTATGAGAAATGGGGAGAAGTAGTCCAAATCAAAACGTGCACGGGTTTTAGGGTGCCACTCCCTTTAATTACACTAGTTGATGATAAATTATGAAAATACACACAGGAACCACGCAAACAACACTGATCATACACCATTAACGTAATTTCACCGGAGACACCTCGGATCGGCCAAACTATTTCGGACAAATCTACGACGTTTACGGAAAATTACAACAACAAATAACTACGCATAACGCTCACTCTAAAAACCGGAAATAAAAAAACAAATACAATTTTAAAATTAAGAGAAGGGGGGGGGGTTTGAGTCGAAAACTCTCGGGGCCAACTGGGGGGCAACGGGGCTGTACCGCGTGTTGCTTACCGCGAGCAGTGTGGTCACCGCGTTGAGAGAAGACTGATTTCATAGATCTTCCTTAGGAGCGTCTTACCCTCAGTTTCGTACGATTCGAGCGGAAAATCTAGTGAAATCAGCAATTCCAGTGCTCTAAACATGACTACGCGGTGTCCAGCAGACAGGGTCCCCGCACCGCTGCCACGCACCTTCTAGAGGGCCGCCGAAACTATTACGAGTCTTAGACCATCCCGTTGGCTCTCGCAGGGCGTGGCAACCGCGCAGCGGTCTACTGCATCGTGACATCATGCTCTTAGGATGTTCTCCAACGCGAAAAACACCCTATCTCACGTGTAGTGCGCTGATCGCATCCGCACCAGTCGTCGTTCATACGCTGAAACTGCAGTTTACGGCAACGGGGCCCGATGAGAGAAGCCCAGGACTTCACGAACTCCTGGCTATCGCAAACCAGCCTTTCAACTTGTCAAGATACTTGCCATCTATTGAAGTGAGCAGGCAAATTTAAAATCCCCCAAGAGGGACTCCAAACTCACTGCACGTCTCCAAAACATGGCGCTGTCGCGAAATTTTCGTTTCACGTCCTGTGAAAGGTTGGCGACAAGGGGTGGAGGAGGAGATCAGAAGTTGCCAATTGCTTGATGATCTGTGGGAGGACAGGGGGCAATAGCGATTGGGCGGCGCTATAAAAGCGACTTCATGTATGTATCTTGATTTTTTAACTTCAAAACCTAGGATTTGAATGGTCTTGAAAATCTAGCGTGATACCGAGAGCAACCCCCGGTGTCAAATCACAGTACTCCTCCGCCACGACCGGAAATTTCCAGTCTCCGCCTTTCCGGAAATCATGCTCGTCGTAAATCACATCAATGTATTTTGTCTCACAGCGTAACAGCCTACCCGAGCCATTTCCGCAACATCCCCGATGTCCACTTCCGAGAATTTCCCACTAACGCGGAGCCGAATCCGGCGGCCAAACGGACCTTCCCTCTGCCCTTTGCACATGTTGCATGTGTTTTACTGAAAATGGAGGGCATCGGTGCATCACTCCCCGATGATCGTGAAATTTGTCGGAATGACCTTCAGTGATGATCGTTAAATTTGCGAATAGTCATTCTACCCATTAAAGTAAATTTTTGATGGCTTTTGACCGTGCTTAAGGAAAGATTATAATATATAATCGTATCTGAAGTATGATGTCAATGAATCTAATGGATCCTAATGAATCGTAAAAAAGCTAAGATTTTTACGGATCGCCGTCTTTAATAGGAGGCATCATTAATCAATTACAAATTTAATTGAAGATGCATCATAATATTGACAAGTCGAGTCCGAATATACAGGGTTATCCAAAAGTCACTGACAACCCCTGTAACTTTTTTCCATATTGAGAGAAAAGTTTGAAACTTTGGCAATGTTCCTCGGTCTAAAGTAGCGACTTTTTGGTCCATCCAAAATTTTGGGGGGCGGCCCCCCTAAGGGGGGCGGAGGCTAACTTTTTTTTCAAATGGCAACCCCCCTTTGTGATACCTCATTCGAAAGATAATAAAAAAAGAAAATTTTCGGCGAAAACCGCAGGTTTTGTTGATTTTTGACAAAATGGCGGCCGGTCAAAGTTCAAAATGGCGGAAATTTGGCATCTCCGTTTTTTATCGGCGGATTGGTTTGAAACTCAGAATCTTAGGGTTTTTTGGGGCGAGTAAAATGATTCTGTCATCGGTTTTCCAGAATAGTCAGTCCTTTTCAAAATGGCGGCCTAGAGAGAGAAGTGGATATTTAGGCTGCTTATCGTTGGATTTGCATGAAACTTGGTATCCGGGGGTATTTCGGCACAAGAAGAACAAATCTTTCATTGAATATCTGAAATTCTGACGAATTTCAAAATGGCGGCGGAAAAGTGGCGAGAAATCAGTTTTACGGCTGTTTATCGATGGATTTGCATGAAATTCGATATCCTGGTGGTTTTTGGCTGGATAAAAGGAATCTTTCATTAATTCTTGAAATACTAAATAATCGGTATCGCATTTCATGCAAATCCATTGGTAAACAGCCGTGAAACTGACTTCTCGCCACTTTTCCGCCGCCATTGTGAAATTCGTCAGAATTTCAGATATCCAATGAAAGATTCGTTCTTCTCGTGCCGAAATACCCCCGGATACCAAGTTTCATGCAAATCCAACAATAAGCAGCCTAAATAACCACATCTCGCTCTAGGCTGCCATTTTGAAAAGGACCGAGTTTTGTGGAAAACCGATTCCAGAATCGTTTTTCTCGTCCAAAAAAACCCTGGGATTCTGGGTTTCAAACCAATCCGCCGATAAAAAACGGAGATGCCAAATTTCCGCCATTTTGAACTTGGACCGGCCGCCATTTTGTCAAAAATCAACACTTTGACCTGCGGTTTGCGCCAAAAATTGTCTTTTTTTATTATCTTTCAAATGAGATATCACAAAGGGGGGGTTGCTAATTGAAAAAAAAGTTAGCCCCCGCCCCCCTTAGGGGGGGGCCGCCCCCCCCCCAAAATTTTGGATGGACCAAAAAGTCGCTACTTTACACCGAGGAACATTGCCAAAGTTTCAAACTTCTATCTCAATTTGGAAAAAAGTTACAGGGGTGGTCAGTGACTTTTGGATAACCCTGTATGAATTCATCACACGGAAAAAAAAGGTTGTCTCGTGCAGCCATGAAGATGGTCGAATCGACCATCTTC